TTTTCAAATTCTACTATCACTGCGAGACTCCCTTAAAGATGGTGTCTTTTTAAATAAGATAACATGAGAATTTCACAATCACACTTCCAATGTCACTCTTAAAGTTACTTCTTAATTTCAATATCACAGACTGGATAACAAGTCCATCATGCTGCAACAAACCCCTACTACAGGCAGATCAAAATGAAGACATAAACAAATGAATGAATGCTTTGGAAGTTAATTATCTGAAAGTCCTGCACAAGTTTCACACTTGATCAGTTGGGTTTTCCTTTCTTCAGTTAAAAATTCCAAAGCAAGAAAATATTTGGAAAGCAACTATCTCTTAGTATGGTTACAGTGTTGTTTGTTTACTGGCGGTGAATTTTATAATGATTAAAAACAGTAGAACTCTTGTACCAACTCATATATGAGAGTGACAACTTTTAATATCAATAACTGGACAAAGCTCACCAGCACAGTTGATATCACAAGAAGGAGAAAAACCAAACACGTTGTGGGAATCGATAACTTACTCACTTGGGCACAAACAAAGACACCTGTAGCCATTTGAGAAGAATATTATATTGTGGTGCTTACCTTTCGATGCCTCGATATCCAAAGTTTTACCTTCCGATACCTCGATACCCAAAGTTCAAAAAAATCAAATAAGGTTTTTCTTTGGAAATCTATCCCGCACACTTTTGCAATTTTAGCGACCACATGAGTTTTGTTAGAAGTGTAGCAACTCAATCAGTAGAAGATGTAATCAAAATTTTCATTTACAAACCGAAGAAAGATCTTCCAGTGCTTTATTCCAGAACCAACTAATATTTCTCAATAAATACTGACAAAGAGGAAGCAATAGCAGGCTAGCTAACTAAAAGCAAAGCTGGCATACACATAACAGGCTGGCTAACTGAAAGCAAAGCAGGCAAAGAAAAAAACTTGTGATCTAGCAAACAATTGGTGATTCCTTACACTTATTGTGTTTATTTCTTATTTCATTTCTTTCTTAGACTTAGCATGAACACTATTCCCCTTCTTCTCCCAAACATTCGTAAAATTTCAATCATCAAAATACAACGAAATCCACAAAACTCATTTCCCTTCTCATCACCCTTTTCATAATAACAACATTTGTTTCAACCCCATCAAACATTCTTGGTAGAAAAGTTGGGGCAAGAACTCTTATCAAGGATGGGAAAACAAATAAAAAAGTTCAAGACTTGCAAGCAGATATTGTAAGAGGATAATATTGAATTGTTGAACTTTGCTAAGGCTGTAGAAGCCGAAACACAGGTTGTTTCTAGTATCAAACATTACCTTAAAATCTCCGTAACTGTTTCCTCGGCTATTCCGAAAATGTTTGATGCTGTATTGGTGATAAAACATTGGCAAGAAAGTCAGTGAACCAAGTTTCCTAAGCAAAGACCTTCGATTAACCGATGGCGTCAAAAGTGACAACAAAATCTGAAGATGAAGCAGAGGCAGAAAGAGGATGAGCAGAGGGAAACGGAAGCAGATTAATCGCTGTGAGATAGAAAGAAACTGAAGATGAAGCAGAGAAAGAAAGAGGATGAACAGAGGGAGGGATTAGTCGCTGGCAGTGAGAGCCCCTAAATCGCACCACCCGTCAAAGTTACCCTACGCGTGTTAGCTGTTAGCAAAATTTACGAAAAGACTAAAGTAGCCCTTGGGAAGCAGGCATGACGACCCTGACATACTTCCAACCGGCTTCTATATGGGATCAGCCCGGGCTTGCCCGGGCCCAACACTTTGGATTAGAGTGTGAGCAATTGAGAAAGTCAGATCATATCTATCAAAGACAATGTATAATAGCGTCACAAATTCATCAAACTCAACCATATACTTCTTATAGCTAAAGAGTGCCATTGGGAAAGAGTTCATTTATATGCAAGTGACTTGTATGATAGACGAAGCTTCTTATTTATTGGTAACTTATACGAAAAATAGTCAAATTGCTAAACGTATTAAAGCTTTTACACCACTGGAAGAAATACAAATTATTTTCAAATTTTAAATAGTTTTAAGTTGATTAGAGCAAATTATTGAAAACATGAAAAAGAATCTCTGCCACAGCTGCACTATTAGTTGCCTCAAGAGAGTGAAAAGAAGAAACTTCATTCTTTCTCATTTTCTTTCGTAGACTTTTCNGTTGACTTTGGGTTCACTAATGACTAAATTGATCATGTATATAGCTAAATCTTTGTTACTTTACTGACCAAGCAGTCCATAAAAGGGAAGACAAGAAAAACGTAATCGATGATGATGTAAACTATTTGGGAAAAATAGGTCAATAAGAAGATCAGAAGATAATAAGGCACCTGTGGAATACCAGTAACAACAAAATGTAATTCTTTTAATGAAAGCCAACTCTTCTCCTGACCCTATTAGATTTGCTATTATGTTAACGTGTGTGAATGTGCAATAACTAACAAAAGTGTTCATCACAATAAGCCAATTTTCCCAATCATTCTTGAAAATGACTGCATTCTAGAGCTTCATTATATAAAACTTAGATTTAGAGGTTTGTTGAATGCGGTGCATTACCACTAAAGTTGAAAAGATTGTGCCAAAAAAAAAAAGAAATTGAAGCACACTGCTTTGATGCAAATACCCAAAAATCTTCAAAACACAGAGTCGTAAGAACAAAGAACACTAAAAATAATTTTTATATACGAATCCTCATAATAAAATTTATTGAACTATTATCCATATTGTATAAAAGATACATTGTGTGGCAGTTCTCGGCATTTTATTTTGTAATTTAGTGAACTCATAGTGGAGGTTTGCGTAGCAATAGCTGAAACAGGTAATATTTTATCGTCAACAGCTACAAGATTAAGTGATGAAGCTGACTCTGCTGAACTCTTCATTGTGTATTCGATTAGCATTAGTTTGTTCTCATTTATCCTGTAATTCGCACAGGAAATGTCAGACAATTATTTTTCCACAGAAGAAATAACAACTAAATAATAATGTGGTACATTTTAAGCACAATTTATATTGTACCAATTCCGTAATTCAGTTGCTTGCACATATAGGGGATTGATTAAGATTGTTGAGTTGTATCTTGTTGCGAAACGGGTAACTGCGCATGAAAATTTTGTTAATAACCAATGCAAAACAATAATCCATATGTAGGAACATGAGTTGCATGAACTTACCACCCTGATATTTTGTGGTACCTATCCGCTTCGCGAGAATAATAGGATATTCTTGTAGTTGCCTCACTTGTCTCAGTAACTCAGCTCCTTCATTGCTTGCCAAGTCTTCCCATATAGTGAAGAAGAGAGGTGAAGAAGAGAGGTTTCTTCCTGTACATGTACTTTTATAAGTGTGAGCTAGAGATTTTGTTATGTAACAGAAGATTAAATGACTCACATTTTGTCTATAACTATGGCCTCTTGAAATCTCTTACTCTAATAGATCTATTGTTATAAACAAAAAACAAATGTACGTAAAACCAATATACTTGCATGAGTTTCAAGCAATTAAGCTATTTTAAGGCATAGGGTAATTTGAAACATACCAACTTCAACACCGGAAGGCTGTTGTGCAACGTCGGCGAATGAAATCGTACTCAGTCTTAACGGAGGAGGTAACAGTGCCTCATTTTCATTATTTTTTTAGATAGACTCCACAATAGTAAATCTGTCAACGATCCACTCAAATTGGCCTATATGTAGTGAATAAGGTTGCGGATTTCTAACCTTGGCAGTTGAAATCAGATATGTTTCAAAAAGTTCGAACAAGTTATCACATCTTCTAATATCGTCACCATAAAGTATCACACAAACTTGTTCCTCCTACAATATTATTAAGAATGATGACTAAGTAATTATTGGAAGAGTACAAGTGAAAAGAAGTTATATTACAACTTTAGTTGTAACTTGACTTACGTTTACATCCTGGACAATTATTGTCTGAAAATGAACTCGCTGATCTCTACTGTCTCGTGGCCGAAATTTGTCTACAGCCTGGACTTTGCAAGTCCATTCTGTAGTTAGTGGTGTAATTTCATACTAAGTCTTTGTTCCATTTTATTAATATAACCTGCATATTGGTAACTGTAAAATTACAAGAACAAACCATCCCACATTACAAATATGAGGCAACAAATATACGTAAGATACACTTGACATTTTTTGCAACAATTAGGAATTTCTAGTAAAAGTTGGATTTGGATTTTGTA